ACATTCCTATCAAACCATCATACGATTCCCCCACCCACCCTCATTCTATTAAACATCGTGCGATCGCCACCGACCCACACTTTGTTTCAAACACACCATGAGCGATTCCTCGCCACCCCCACCCACTTCTATCAAACATCACGCGATTCTCCACCACACACATGATTGTGATCGTGGTAAATGTGAACGCGCTTCAGGTGATGAAATCGTCGAGCAACCAGCGCGTGCCAGACTGCTTCGTCAAGTGTCCACGGAGGGTCAACCTGTCCGAGCACGGTCAGATACTGGCCATCACGGTCGACCCACAAGGTAACGTAGCGGAGTCGGCGCGGCATCAGGCGTCGTTAGAGTGGCCAGATGCTGGCTAGATTGATCATGTTTAACTCGATTTCTGCCTTACTATCGACATGTTCTAGTCGCTTCGTGCAGAAGTTATAATCGTTCTATGGGAAAGTCGAATGGAAAATTAAAAATTTTTATTTTTAATGAAGAAAGAAATAACAATATGAGTATATTTTAAATGAATATAGAAAATAGAAATAAAATATATATAAATAGAAGTAATATTTTTTAATTAATACGTATATATATATATGTGTGTGTAATTTATATAAATATAAATGTAAGTAAAAATCATGAACAATAATTAAGTAAGATTCTAGAGATGAAAACAATCATACTTGTTTTCTACTAAATATTTTTTTACCCAATGATCTGTGGCATGTATAGTAATTAGTAAAAGAGTCGATGATGAGAAGAAGTGGCTAGGGGTTTAATGTGTCGCCTCGCGCTATGTCGTTCCAGGTATCCGGTGCATTGTGCGGGGCAGGTGCAAGCTAATGTACATTGTGCACAGTCTGAGCACATCCAAGGTGGTGCTGGAGGCAGCCTTCCCAACGAACATCGATGCCTTCTCTGGCCTCAATCCCAGCTCAGTAGCTATGTACAACGGTGGAGAGGTAATAAAATGCAGTGATATAAATTGCAATCGTAATATATATCATGTAATTGTATAAATACCTACTCTATTGGTATCGCGTATTTGCACCAATTCTTCTGTGAGCCATGCTGTTATCATTTATTGTATTTGTACTTTGTCATTTTATTATTATAACCTTATGCATTTTTACACCGTTATACATTGTACATTATGCATTGTACATGTTCGTTGTCGTTACGACGAATGCAGGATCTGTGTTGTGCTTGCCTGTCCGTGTGAAGTATGTAGTGCACTTCAAGTGTGCATGTAGACACGTAAGCATTCTGTGCGCAGGACTCGATACTGCTACTGCAAGACGGCAACAAGGCGCTGTACCCGATGGCGAGAGATTCGCTCGACGGCATCCGCGACCCGCTATGGACGAACCTGCTGCCGGTGCGCTGCCTCGGCATGACCGTGCAGTCTCTCACCGTCACGTCGACGATGAAGAACAAGGCTGCCGTCATCGTGCTCGCGTTGGAGGTACGGCAGCGACGAGCGAGCGAGAGCGCGAGAGGTCACGGTGCCGCGCCGAGTGTTTTGTTCCTAGTGCAAAGGTGGCGTTAGCGGTGCCACGCCGAGTGTTTTGTTCCTAGTGTAAAGGTGGCGTTAGCGGTGCCACGCCGAGTGTTTTGTTCCTAGTGTAAAGGTGGCGTTAGCGGTGCCGCGCCGAGTGTTTTGTTCCTAGTGTAAAGGTGGCGTTAGCGGTGCCACGTCGAGTGTTTTGTTCCTAGTGTCAAGGTGGCGCTAGTCTGAGAGATTAATGGCTGCGATCGGAATTGTTTAAGGACGGCTTGACAAACCTATTCCACCAAACTTCCTACCTGAGAGAAAATTGCCTTGGGTGCCATGCTGAACGGTTGTTTCTAGTCTAAGAGATGGTTTTAAATAGGCTTTTCCATAAGGATGGTTTGAAAACCTATTCTATGTAAAAAGTGGTTCTACTTCCAAAAAAGTCTACTTATTGACCCTACGTGAGACAAAATTGCTTTAGGTTACACACTAAGACACTGTTTCTCGTGTTAAGATAGCCTTGCTGAGAGAAACTGTGAAGTATGACAGGATAAACTGTGTGTACCAGTAGCGTTGAGTAGGATGTTGAATATCTGTTTGACATGTCGTTTCAGAACCAGCTACTGATACCGTACATACTGAGAAGTGACGTGGAAGCAGTCAGACAGGTGCTAGCCGTACTGGCCACCGATGCGGGTGAGTAACGATGACAGCTATGTGCAAGACTTCCCGATCAACGTTCCAAGTTGCTACATAATTGTGTGTTGCAAGCTCATTTAACATTTATAATGACCATCCTTTTTGGATAATGAAACGGAAAACTGTGTTATTGAGTCTAGCTTGTGCTATACTGTCATTGGTCTCTATTCGTTGTGTTACCTTTAGTGGAATAGAACATTTTTCAAGTGTTGGATGTACATTATAATTAAATTCAGTTACATTTGATTAGAAATAGAAATAAAATAGAATAGAAAAGCTATATTAATGATAACCTTCGCTGGGAATAATCGGGGTTCTGTGTGAGAAAAGCGAAACTGCTAACATAACATGGACTCTATATATCCCGCTCAGGTGCTAGCAAGTTGAACAGGGTGCTTCTGGAGCGCTGCGATGGCAACAGAAACCTACTGCACGTGGCTGTATCTGTCTGCTGCCCTACTTCCAACAAGGAGAGCAATGATTCAGGTACCCAGCTTATTCACTCGCAGTATCTTTTAGAACAGACTTTCGAAGTATAAGAAAAAGTTTATTGCACGAGGTTTAAAATAAAAACGTTAAAAATAATGCATGAATTTGGAAGAATTTCGCAAGGAAAATAGTTGGCGGCAACAACATCATTTTATAAGATGAATGCATGTCACTACTACCAGTACCTCTACAAGTCGCACACAACACCTTAGACGAAGCGTGGCTACGGCAAAATTCTTCGGCGTGTTTCAAGCGTTCACACATCGAGAGCAAGACGACACGATAGAGTAGTCATAGTATCGTATGTAATAAGAGATTAAAGTAAAAATTTAATACCACGTAATTCGCATGTGCTAGCGAGTAGGAACCCGGGCGTGTGAGCAGCTGGTGCATGGGTTTCACCGTGTGTCGCGTGTGTTTGCAGATGCGTTCAGCAGCATCAGTGAGACGCTGAGTGCGGTGGATGCTCTCACGAGCGCGGTCGGCACGGGAGCGGGAACCAGCTCTTTCAGCGCTCGCAGGTAAGCGTTTGAACGAGGTTACCACGCCTCCCTTGCTATACTATTGGTCGGTCAAGCCAGACCAGTTTATACGCCGCCTGTCACGGCAATGATTGGTTATAGCTACCTGTGAACGATGATGCTAGGGTAGATGGGTTGATTCCACTCGGCCACTGATAAAAAATAATTTTAAGATGGTACGTTTAGTGTGACGTTCGAAAATCGTAGTAACGTTACTGTAGTCTCTATCGCTAGCAGTATCACAGCAGATCAGCGTGACCGCCAGCTTGTTCTCCTTCTTTGTTAACTTGAGGGGGGGGGGTCTTTCCTCATCTAGAAGCTTTTCAAGCCCCGTGTCGGTAACTGTGAAGTAACCTGTGAATCTAGAATGCTAGAAAAGCAGGTCTAAATTCTACAAACAGTGTTATATCATGTTCTTTTATGTTCTTGTTACGTTCTGTTATGTTTTTGTCTTCAAACGTGAGTTTGAAACAAACGCGATACAGCAGTGTGGTGCGTTAACACACGTAACACAACGCGTAACACGTAACATGTGCTTAAACGAACCTATCGCGTAACGTGATTGCCTTGCGTCTCAGCAGCAGCGGCAGCGGCGGCGGCGGCGGCAGCGGAAACCTGCGTCGGTCGTCGTCGGCATCGATGTCGTCGCGCGTGTTTCCGGGACTGGAGGACGAGGAGGCGCACTCGCTCGGCATTCCCTCGTTCTCGTGGCCGGCGATGGACCAGGCGTTCGACAGCGTGCGCGCGCTCGCAAGCTACGGCAGCAGGACCAGCCCCAGCCGTGATGCCGGCCCGTCCGGTGCGTGCATAAACCAATGTGTGTGCGTGCGTGCGTGGGGTGGGTGCGTGAGTGCGTGCGTGCACGCCTGCGTGCATGCGTGCATGCATATATAGTAGTGATTATTATAAAATTTTCTTTCAAATCTGATTACCATGGTGTAGCAACGTATAGTATCTTGTAAAATAAAGGTCGTGCAGTCTTTCTCATTTAAAAAGTATGCTGGTGTTTCACACTGAATTAGTAACATGAGACTACATTCGTCATCACATTTATGGTTGTTATGGTTGATAGTGTGCTTGAGCGCGTGCGCGTGAGCGCGTGCGCGTGAGTGCGTGCTTGAGCGCGTGCGCGTGAGTGCGTGCGCGTGAGTGCGTGCGCGTGAGCGCGTGCGCGTGAGTGCGTGCTTGAGCGCGTGCGCGTGAGTGCGTGCGCGTGAGTGCGTGCGCGTGAGCGCGTGCGCGTGAGTGCGTGCTTGAGCGCGTGCGCGTGAGTGCGTGCGCGTGAGTGCGTGCGCGTGAGCGCGTGGCGGCGGTGGAGTGCGTGCTTGAGCGGGCGTGCTCCGTGTAGTGCGTGCTTGCGCCGGGTGCGCGGTGAGTGGCGTGCTTGAGCACGTGAGCGTGAGTGCGTGGCTTGAGCGGTGCGGTGAGGATGCGTGCTTGAGGCGTGGCGCGTGAGTGCGTGCTTGAGCGCCTGGCTCGTGAGTGCGTGGCCTTGCAAGCGCCCGTGCGCGTGAGTGCGTGCTTGAGCAGTGCGTGTGAGTGCGTGCTTGACGTTGCGCGTGAGTGAGTGCTTGAGCGGCCGTGCGCGTGAGTGCGCGTGCTTGAAGCGCGGTGCGTCGTGAGTGCGTGGCTTGAGCGTGGTTGCACTTTTGAGTGCGTGCGGCAGGAGTGCGTGCTTGGAGCGTGTGCCCTTGAGTGCCGTGCGCGTGAGTGCGGTGCTTTTGAGCGCCGTGCGGCGTGAGTGCGTGCTTGAGCGCGTGTCCGTGAGTGCGTTGCTTGACGCGCGTGGCTCGTAACAGTGCGTGCTTGAGCGGCGTGCGCGTGAGTGCGTGCTTGAGGCACCGTGCGCGTGAGTGCGTGCTTGAGCGCGTGCGCGTGAGTGCGTGCTTGAGCGCGTGCGCGTGAGTGCGTGCTTGAGCGCGTGCGTGTGAGTGCGGGCTTGAGCGCGTGCTCGTGATGGTGCTTGAGCGGCGATGCGCGTGAGTGCGTGCTTGAGCGCGTGCGCGTGAGTGGTGCTTGAACGCGAGTGCTGTCGTGAGTGCGTGCTTGAGCGCGTGCGGCGTGAGCTGCGTGCTGTGAGTGCGTGCGCGTGAGTGCGTGCTTGAGCGCGTGCCGTGAGTGCGTGCGCGTGAGCTGCGTCGCGCGTTCGAGTGCGTGCTTGAGAGAGTGCGCGTGAGTGCGTGCGTCGAGAGGCGCGTGCTCGTGAGTGCGTGCCTTGAGGCGGCGTGCTCGCGGAGTGGCGTGCTTGAGTGCGTGCGCGTGAGTGCGTGCTTGAGGCGCGTGCGCGTGAGTGCGTGCTTGAGCGCGTGCGCCGTTCGAGTGCGTGCTTTGAGCGGCGGGTGCTCGTGGAGTGCGTGCTTGGAGGCGGTGCGCGTGAGTGCGTGCTTCCGAGCGCCGTGGCGCGTGAGTGCGTGCTTGAGAAGCGTGCGCGTGAGCGGCGTGCGCGGTGGAGCGCGTGCCGCGTGAGCCGCGGTGCGCCTGAGCGCGTGCGCGTAGTGCGTGCTGAGGGCGCGTGCGCGGTGAGTGCGTGCTTGAGCGCGTGCGCGTGAGTGCGTCCAAGCGCGCATGTGTGCGTGAGTGCATTTCTGTAACACTGCTCCGTGCACGCGTGCGTCAGAGCGCGTGTGTGAGTGCGTGTATGAATGAGTACGTGAGTGCATGTGTGCATTAGTTCCTTTCTGTAACACTGCCCCGTGCATGCGTGCGTCAGAGCGCGTGTGTGAGTGCGTGTGTGAATGAGTACGTGAGTGCATGCGTGCATTAGTGCGTTTCTGTAACAGTGCCCCGTGCGTGCACGTGTGCATTCGAGCGTGTGAGTGTATTTGTGCGTGTGTGCGTGCGTGCGTGCGTGAGAGCGTGCATGCGTGTGCTCGAGGGCCCACGTGCCTGCGTTTCTGTAACACTGCCCTTGCGCGTCATCAGCAGGTCAGACAGCACAGCCGCTGCTTGCCTCCAGCGCAATCGCTCCCGTCGTCAGCGAGGAGAAGGAGCGCAGCAGCAACGCTCTGAAGATCGTACGGCTGCTGTGCGACTCCTCGGCTCTCAACCCGCACTTCATCAATCTTCTGTCGGCCAAGTGAGTTACTCAATAAAAACAAGCATTTCTTTAGCACTAAACCCTCACTCCATCAACCTTCTGCCAGCCAAGTGAGTTACTCTATGAAAGCGGGCGTTTATTTAGCAGTAAACCTTCATTTCATCAACCTTCTATCGGCCAAGTGAGTTACTCTATAAAAACAAGCATTTCTTTAGCACTAAACCCTCACTCCATCAACCTTCTGTCGGCCAAGTGAGTAACTCTTTGAAAACAGGCATTTATTTAGCAGTAAACCCGCACTTCATCAACCTTCTGTCGGCTAAGTGAGTGTTATATTCTGTCAGCCCTATCCTGCGACATTTACTCTAAAAAAAACGGACATTTATTTAACACTAAACCCTCAATTTATCAAATCATCTGTCGGCCAAGTGAGTTACTCTATGAAAGCGGGCGTTTCTTTAGCACTAAACCCTCACTTCATCAATCTTCTATTGGTCAAGTGAGTGTTGTAGTTCGTCAGTCCTATGCTGCGACATTTACTATAAGAAGACAACCATTTCTTTAGCCGTAAACCCTCACCTCGTCAACCTTGCATCAGCCAAGTGAGTATCGGCCGTAGTATTGCGTGACATGTTTACTAAACGAAAACGTGTGATGCTTTAAACAAATAAAAAACCTCACCTCACCTTCCCTAGCCTCCCCTTGCTTCACCTCCCCTTACCTCGCCTCCCCTCACCTCACCTCACCTCACCTCACCATCTCTCTCTCTGTGTCTCGTGTTCAGGGACGCGCAGGGACAGACTCCCTTCATGGCGGCGACGGCGGGCCGCGCGTACGGCGCCGCGCTGGCTCTGTTTACTCACCTCACCTCGCCTTGCCTCCCCTCACCTCACCTCACCATCTCTCTCTCTGTGTCTCGTGTTCAGGGACGCGCAGGGACAGACTCCCTTCATGGCCGCGCCGCGCTGGCTACATTTACTCACCTCACCTCACCATCTCTCTCTCTGTGTCTCGTGTTCAGGGACGCGCAGGGACAGACTCCCTTCATGGCGGCGACGGCGGGCCGCGCGTACGGCGCCGCGCTGGCGCTGCTGGACGCCGCGCAGCAGGCGGCGCGATCGGACGTGGCTGCGCTCGCCGCCTGCGTCTACCCGGCCGGCTCGACGCCCGATGACTCGCCGCTGCACGTTGTCTGCTGCAACGACACGTGCAGCTTCACATGGACTGGCAAGGAGCACATCAACCAGGTGAGGTGGGAGTGGGGGAAGTTCAGGGGGAGGGATGCAGGCAGCACATCTACTAGGCTCACGGGTCGCGGGGCAGTGCGGAGGCAGGGAGTGGGGCCAGCGCGGGGGCAGGGGCAGGGTCCTGGAAAACGGGCTGTTATTGTGTCAAACTGTCAATGAATCCATTTGAAATTGAAGTAATATCGATTCTGTTAGAATAGCAGGAAAATTTTGCTTCACGCAAGAGTTTGTTGACAAGTTATTGGCCCGGCAATCCGAGGCACATTCGGTAGATAGTGTATGTCGTGCGGACCGGCTAATCGCTGTTTTTTTCTGCAGGACATCTTTGAGTGTCGCACCTGTGGCCTCACTGAAACTCTCTGCTGCTGTACGGAATGCGCGCGAGTGTGCCACAAAGGGCATGATTGCAAGTAAGTGGGGCTTCAGGGTAGGGATGCAGTTACGTGTGTGGCCACGTTATATTAATTATTATCAAAATAATTGAATTCTAGCTCCACATTGAACTTAGCCGGTCACACACGTAGTGTGCACGCAGCTGTGAAGAGTTGCTACAAACACATTACATGTAATGCTGTTAGGTTGCTAGATTACTATCATTGTGCGAATTAACAAATGAATAATTTAATGTGCAATTAATGAGCAATTTAATGTGCGTTGAAGCTCACAGATTATTATTATTATTATTATTATTATTATTGTAACAGATACATTATCATTAACGTACTCTACATCCTGGTGGATGGCATGTGTATTTCTCAGTCATAGCTAACAATCTCGTAGCTAACGATCTCCTAGCTAACAACCTCCTAGCTAACGACCTTCACTGTGTTACAGGTTGAAGCACACTGCACCGACGGCGTACTGCGACTGCTGGGAGCGCTGTAAGTGTCGCGCGCTGGTTGCCGGTCAGCAGGGACCGCGGCTGGAGCTGCTCAACCGGCTGGTCAGCGACACCGACCTCGTCACACTGCCCAACAGCAGGTACGTGCGCAGCGGGCGATCATACTATTCTATTCTATATGCTATTATTTACTCTCTTATATATATTTTATTATATATGTATATATATATATGTTATATTATTATTATTATTCATATAGTAATTACTATACACTTACTATTAATGTTAAATTACTGTTATCTAATACTACCTATTTACGTGTGTCTAATCTTGCAGGAAGGAGAACATCCTGCTATTCCTTGTGCAGACTGTGGGCAGACAGATGATAGAGCAGCGTCAGTACAGGCAATCACGCAGCCGCGCCACCACCAGCATTGCCCGCAAACCCACCCCCATCGAAGGTAAGAGCAAAGCAACCTCTACAGAAGGATCATCATCTAATAGAGACGTCCAAGGCCTTTTCTCTTCACATGGGGATAGTGGCAGTGGATCTGCAACAGTGCATCCTGTAGAGATGATCGAAGTCTCTGCTCCTCACACGGGTAGTGGCAGTGGATCAGCGTCTCGTAGAGACGGTTCAGACCTCTGCTTCACACGTAGAATAGCATCAGTGAATCTGCGTCCCATAGAGGCAGTGTAAGCCAGTGCTTCACACGTAGAATAGCATCAGTGAATCTATATTTCGTCGAGACAGTCTAAGCCAGTGCTGCAGGGACGTAGTTTGTATGTTATAATTTATAGTAGAAATAATCAAGAAGAAGTATAATTTTGTGTTCACTAAAGAAATATATTGTTTACAAACAAACAGTCAGAGTCGCGTCGTCCAGTCTTTCCCGTTCCAACGGTCCTCTTCCAATGCTCTGCAGCCCCTTATATATGAACCCCGCATCCAATCACCGGCAAGCTCCTTCCTACTCCAACCAATCACACACCACCACTCTCTCTCTATTCGAATAATTGCGCGCGAAAGCACAACTGGTCAACAGCTGTGTACGGCGCCATCTATGTCTGATATTCCCCCAGCCTAACTATTTCTAATCTATATGCTAAACGCCCAACCCTTCTCTATGTACAACCAATACTATCTACAATTACTAATTCAATGTAACATCTGTGCAACATGTGTAAAACAGATGTTACAGTGCTTCACACATAGAATAGCATAAATGAATCTTCATCCCGCAGAGATGGCCCGTCTGGCCCTCCCCTCCGCTCCTTGGCACGCGCGCGCTAACTCTGCTGCATCGCGCGCGTCGGGATCGCGGCGACGACGAGAGATTGACGTTGATTTGTGCACAGCTGTGTTTGCAGAGCCGCCGATGCCGGACAGAGACCTGGAGCCACCGCGCTTCAGCCGCCGCGCCCTCGAGCGCATACTCACCGACTGGAAGGCCGTGCAGGCGATGATGATGTCCGGATGCAGCCGGCAGGAGAACAGGTAAAGCTGGGTTTACACTGCCAACTTTTTGTTGGGCGAATTGCGGAATTGTACCAATTTCGCAATTGACAATCGGCAGTGTAAACGCAAAAGTTGCTGGGCGAATTGCGGAATTGTACCAATTTCGCAATTGACAATCGGCAGTGTAAACGCAAAAGTTGCACGTCCAACCGATCGATAGCAGCTAGTTGGGAGATGTTCTAATTCGGCAATTCGTCAATTCGCCAACTCAAAGTTGGCAGTGTAAACCCAGCTTAACATGACGGTCTCGTACATCTTCTTCCTCGCTAGCTTCCTAGCCGTAAGTTGTAATTTTGACGGATGTTTCACGACTTACGAGTGTCACGAAGTGGCATGCGTGATGATGAAAATTTTCGTGAGTTTCGCGTAGCATTTGCTCTGTGCTTGTGGTTTAGGCAACTAAGTGCTCATGTATTTCTCTCCCTCAGTACGAGCGACGTGTACGAGGAACAGGTCTACTTGAAGTCGCAGAGTGGAACCACGTTGCTGGACAAGTTCACGCACTGTCTGCTGGTCAAGTGCAGCCTAGAGGTACACTTACAGTCTCACAGGCATCTGAGCAGTAGTTTTACGTGGATGTCTCCCTACTGGAGAATTTCTATCTCTAGACTAATGTCACTGTTATTGCTGGCATGTATTTTGTTAAAAGGAATTAGATTTAAATTCAGCTTTTATTAATAGAAAACAATTTCGATGAATCACCCAACATCTTTAATATCTGTAGTAAGTAATATCTGTAGTAGTAAGTAATATCTGTTGTAGTCGTACACTTACATAGTTAGACGTGTGTGTGCGTGCGTGCGTGAGCATGTGTGTGTGTCTGTGTGTCTGTGCGTGCATGTGCGTTCGCCGCACGTATGTGCTCTGTATGCGCTCTGTACGTGCTCACTGTACACCACACACGCTGCACACCACACTCGCTGTACACCGCACATGCTGTACTCCACACACTGTACGCCACACACGCTGTACGCCACACATGCTATACGCCGCACACGCTGTACACCGCACACGCTGTCCACTGCACATGCTGTACATTGCACACGCTGTACACCACACACGCTGTCCACCGCACACGCTGTACACCGCACACGCTGCACACTGCACATGCTGTACACCACACACGCTGTACACCGCACACGCTGTACACTCTGTACACCACATACGCTGTACACCACACCACACACGCTGTACACCACACATGCTGTACACCGCACACGATGTACATGGCACACGCTGCACACTCTGTACACCACACACGCTGTTCACCACACACGCTGTACACCACACACGCCGTACACTCTGTACACCACACACGCTGTACACCACACACGCTGCACACCGCACACGCTGCACACTGCACACGCTGTACACCACACATGCTGTACACCGCACACGATGTACATGGCACACGCTGCACACCGCACACGCTGTACACTCTGTACACCACACACGCTGTACACCACACACGCTGCACACTGCACACGCTGCACACTGCACACGCTGTACACCGCACACGCTGTACACCACACACGCTAGACACCACACACGCTGCACGCTGCACACGCTGCACACGCTGTACACCGCACACGATGTACATGGCACACGCTGTACACCACACACGCTGCACACCGCACACGCTGTACACTCTGTACACCACACATGCTGTACACCACACACGCTGCACACTGCACACGCTGCACACTGCACACGCTGTACACCGCACACGCTGTACATGGCACATGCTGTACGCCACACACGCTGTACGCCACACATGCTATACGCTGCACACGCTGTACGCACACATGCTATACGCTGCACACACTGCACACCACACATGCTGTACATTGCACACACTGTACGCACACATGCTATACGCTGCACACACTGCACACCACACATGCTGTACATTGCACACACTGTACGCACACATGCTATACGCTGCACACACTGCACACCACACATGCTGTACATTGCACACACTGTACACTGTTCGTCACTCTCTCGCTGCAGATGCTCGACATTCTGCTGACGACCGTCATCAGGGAGATGCAGCACGAGGCTGAGACACGGCGAGACGAGGCGCGGGT